GATATTTTAATACGCCAGTAATTTGAAATAGATTACATGAAACATGAAACACATATGGGCGAAGATTACATCGTAATTTACACTGTGAACAACTTTAAGGTATGTTTTTAGACTACAGAATAAAAGACCTGACAATTATTTGAAAAGTATCATATTCTTCTCTCTGTAACATATTTTTCTACTGAATAAAATCGGTCTGAATATTGTGCTGACTTCGACGATGTTAATCAAGAGTTCTTAAAATTAATATTTAAAATAACATACTGATTGGAAGGTAAAGCCCAAGTGTATCAACAGCAAGGGAGTATGCTGCATATGCTGTTCACCTATTTGCAAGTACCACACTGTACATGTATCTATATGATGTATGTGCATGTATTTTGGCTATTTATATAAATACGTGGAATATATCTACGTGCTATGCAATATATATATATATATATATATATATATATATATATATATATATATAATATATAATATATATATATATATAATTATATATATATATATATATCTGTGCGTGTGTGTCTGTGTGATTATATATTATAATAATATATATATATATATATATATATATATATATATATATATATATATATATATATATATAAATATATATATATATTATGTATATATATATATGTGTGTGTGTGTGTGTGTGTGTGTGTGTGGTGTGTGTGTGTGTGTGTGTGTGCGTGTGTGTGTGTGTGTGTGTGATTATTTATATATATACGTGTGTATGCGTGTTTATGTGCGTGTTTGCGTGTATGTATGTGTGTGCTTGTTGTGTGTGTATGTATGTGCGTGTGACATATATATATATGTATATACATACATATATATATACAGGCATATATATACACACATATATGAGTGTGTATACATGTACACATATCTTCTTACATAAGTGTTTATATGTTATATATATAATAATGTGCGTACATATATATGCATATATACATATATATAATATATACATATGTATTTGTGTGTGTGTCGAATACATAAAATACGTGTACTTTTGCACATATAACGACTTTGTGTATAGCAAAAATATATATGCACGCATGCATGTATTCCGGATTAAATTAAGCTTTACACACATGGAGAGCACGACCACACACACACACACACACACACACACAGACACACACACACACAACACACAGACACACACACACACACACACACACACACACATACTCACAATCTACACAACGAATGAGCGAGATCTTTCCAAAAGCTACTATAAGTGGCCAAGGACAGGATAAGGGTGGCCTTGTCGCGCCGCGTCGTTTAGGACAGAGGAGTATATAAAGGGGTAAGTGGCTGAACTCGCCATCACACTGCAGTTAGCACAGCAGTTGCAGTCATGAAGACACTGGTGAGCGATGTTAATACGTAATCATTGTATGCATAGTGCACTCACTGACAGGTGTACTTATGTTGTGCCTTTAAGTAGTGTGTTTATATAATGCTTTCGGAAGAAAGTTTATGATCTGAAGATTCTAAAGTTGTTATGTAAATCTGCTGATTTTTCTATACTTTCACCCCCAGATCGCCGTGTTGTTGGTCGCCTTCGTGGCAGCAGAGCAGAAGCGCGAGGCTGAGCCTTCCGTCGGCCTCCATCACCCCCTTCTCTACCCTTATGGAAGTGCCTACGGACTCTATCCGTATGCCAGGCATTCCTACCTCAGTACCCACGGCCACATCCTTCACAAGCGCGACGCTGAAGCCGACCCTGGCTACCTCTTGGGAGGAGGCCTCGGCCTAGGCGGCGCCTATGGTTACGGCCTCAACTATGGCCTTGGAGGAGCTTATGGCTATGGCTATCCTCTGGGTCACGTCTCCTACAGCACCGTCGGCCACTCAATCGGCAAGCGTGAGGCCGAGCCTGGCTACGGTCACGGCCTTCTTGGAGGTCTTGGAGGATCCTACGGCTACGCCTCCTCTCTCCTCTATCCAGGGATCGCCCACTCCTACCAGTACAATCATGCTGTTAATCCTCTTATCTACGGATAGGGAGACTATGGCAATGTTTTTTCCTCCGGATACGATGGAATAAAAGAATATTTTAAATAAATTTGCCAAATGACATTTCAATTACTTTAATATTTCCATTTCATGAAAATTGCTGTCAATTACAACTACGTGTAATGTCGCATACGAAGCATCGAGTGGGCCTGAAGCTACTCTGATAATAATTGGTGTTGATGATAGTTGTTATTATCATTAATCATATATTGCTATTACCATTCTTATTATTACTATAGTATTGCGATTAAAAACTATAAAGATGATAACTAAAATCTTCATAATGAGCAATGTAAGTAACAACGATAAAAGGGGAAATAATAGCAGTACTTTTCAAAAGATAATGACCATGATAAAGATGAAAAAATCAAGGAAATTAATAGATATTGTTTATTATAGTGATTACCGAGGTAATAGGATAAGAATGAGAGATATTATAATGATAGTTCTATATACAGTAGTAATAATATTCATAACAATCATGATAGTATTTCTAATGATACTTATTAATAGAAATGTCAGTAATATTTCTTTTGACGATCTATACTAATATATACTAATAGAATTTTAAAAAAAAAAAAAAAAAAACTCAAAATAACAAGGTAAATCGGAATGAAAAAATAAAAAATAAAAATCAAAATACATGTAATCAAGAAATCCTCATTGTTATTACCATTACCATTATATTATCATTATTTTTATTGATATTGTTCCTATTATTTTTTCCACTGACTTTTAAGTATATTATTACCATTAGTATCATTATTATTGCCATTATTAACACTTCTATTTTTCATCCTTATCACATTAAAGCATCATCACAATTACAATTATCATTATCATTATCACTACTACTACTGCTGCTATCGTTGCTAATTCTTTTATAATGATTATCACGAATTTTAGTGTCATAGTTTTGATATATTGATAACTATCGTGTTCATTAGTATTATTTTCACCATTTTCATCTTCAAGGCAATGATAAGAAGTCAAAATAAAACTTATAATTATACTGATAACAAAAATAACAATAATGTCAGTACTGATAATAAGAATGATAATGATTAGTCTAAAAAGACGAAGAAAGCATTTGATGTGAGAAAGATCAGCAGTGTACTTTGCATAATGATAAAATTGGTTTCGTCTAATAATTGAATATCCTGTGACGTTCTTCACGGGTATGCTGAGATATGCTGACCGTGACCTATGCTGAGATATGCTACCGTGACCTATGTGAGATATGCTGACCGTGACCTAAGATGACATGCAGGCGAAAGTTTGGGGAGGAAGAAAGACTGGGATGTCGCAGCGAGTAGGAAGTTGCGAGAGTGACAGTGCGGTATATTGTTAAGTTTGTCTTCCTTACTCGGAAACTTGGGGCCGCCATTCTAACCGCAATCATTATTATATGGCAATATATTTTGAAGTACAACCAGTCATTTTTATAGTCTTTATTAAAGTGTATATTTTGGCCAGAATTATATCATATATTGCACTGAGGACACCCTAAGATATATCTAGAGGTAAAAAAAAGAAAAAAAAAAAAATGTTTGTGGTTTTACTTAATTAGATCGGTCAGACTCTTGTGTTGACTCTCTCCCTGTCAATTGTGCTAATAAAAACTCATTTCAGCTGATTATCGCATACTGATTGCGAGCAAAATCACAGAAGTAACGGTTCTTTGTAAACACTCACACACACACACATATATACAGTTCACCTACGTGTCGTACAATATATGCAAGAAATATCCTTTATCTCTCTTTTCTCTCTCTCTCTCTCCTCTCTCCTCCTCTCTCTATATATATATATATATAATATATATATATATATATATATATATATATTATATATATATAATACTTATGCCACGTGTGTGTGTGTGTGGTATACACATATATGTTAATATATTATATATACACAAACACACAAATATATAATGTATATATGTAAATGTATGTGTACATGTATATATATATAAGTATGTATAGATATATATATTCATATACATATATGTATATATATGTTTATGTTTCGATCTAGGGATCACTCATTACATACATACATACGAGTTCGTATATAGGGTTATAAACGCGTGCACGCACACGCACACACATACAAACAATTCATTTAGAATTGACTCAAGAAATACACACACGGAGAGCACGAACACGCGCGCGCGCACACACACACAGTATACACAACCGAATAAAGCGAGATTTTCCAAAAGCTACTATAAATGGCCAAGGACAGGATAAGGGTGCGGCCTTGTCGCGCCGCGTCGTTTAGGAGAGAGGAGTATATAAAGGGGTAAGTGGCTGAACTCGCCATCACACTGCAGTTAGCACAGCAGTTGCAGTCATGAAGACACTGTGAGCGATGTTAATACGTAATCATTGTAGGCAGAGTGCACTCACTGACAGGTGAATTTATGTTTGTGTTTGTGCCTTTAATTTGGAAATGTGTTTATAAATGCTTTCGCAGGAAAACATTTATGATCAAAAGATTTTAATGTTGTTTATGTAAATCTGCTGATTTTTCTTGCTTCACCCAGATCGCCTTGTTTGGTCGCCTTCGTGGCAGCAGAGCAGAAGCGCGAGGCTGAGCCTTCCGTCGGCCTCCATCACTCCCTCTCTACCCTTACGGTGTAGGCCTAGGCAGTGCCTATGGGCTCTACCCATATGCGGCCACATCCTTCACAACGCGACGCTGAACCGACCGGCTACTCTTGGGAGGAGCCTTGGTAGGCGGCGCCTATGGTTACGGCCTCAACTATGGCCTTGGAGGAGCTTATGGCTATGGCTATCCTCTGGGTCACGTCTCCTACAGCACCGTCGGCCACTCAATCGGCAAGCGTGAGGCTGAGCCTGGCTACGGTCACGGCCTTCTTGGAGGTCTTGGAGGATCTACGGCTACGCCTCCTCTCTCCTCTATCCAGGGATCGCCCACTCCTACCAGTACAA